ATAATTGTACTATGTATTTAATAAAATAGCTTTGGCTATCCAATATTGTCTGTTAATAACATATAACTAATTACTATAATTGTACTATGTATTTAATAAAAGAGCTTTGGCTATCCAATATTGTGAGTTAATAACATATTACTAATTACTATAATTGTACTATGTATTTAATAAAAGAGCTTTGGCAATAAATATTGTCAGTTAATAACATATAACTAATTACTAAAATGTTACTATGTATTTAATAAAAGAGCTTTGGCTATCCAATATTGTCAGTTAATAAAGCGATATAACTAATTACTATAAGTTTTAATATGCATTTACTATGAAAATATATATATATTGTAAGAAATTGTGATACAGTATTGAAATGTGGATCAAATGGGGGAAAAGAAGCTATTTGTTGTACTTCGTAAATATGTGTACAGAATATTGTAGAGAAAGAGAATTTTGAAATTGTAGGGAGAGGACAAGCCAAGTTGGAAGAACTTGTCCCTGAATCTTGTTCACAACTTGTTAATAAACAATGCAACATGATCTTTAAGAGATGACATACCGCGGCGCAATGCAAGCTGCAAAAACTCCACAGTTAACCGGTTAACTGACGCGGAATACGCAATGCATGAAGAAGAAAACTTACAGTGCATTTATACAATATGACGGTTAATATATAACTCACAACTATTTCGTCAGGTGTGTCGTGTTGAGACCAGAGCATGTGTATGGAGAGATAAGCGAGTGACGCGCTGCACCAAACACCGTGCGGGAGACTAATGTGTATGTCGTTCTGCAGCGCTACAACAGCTGAGGTAGTGGCGTTACTATTGAAAAATTAATGCGTTCACGCTCAAACAATGTGTACCAAAGTATCACGCCATGTGATCAGGTAATGAACAAAGCTAATTTACTTGCCTCGGGTTGAAAGCAAATAATTGTTTTGTTTTAAATGCGTTGGTATGGACGCATGTAAATAGGCGAATCTGGACCAGAAAATCCAGTGAAGTACATCATAAGCATCGATCTACGAAATTGGGATAATATGTCAATTGGGATCAACTCAAGACAGCGAGCCTAGCCTCCCGATCCCGTTAGTCGCCTCTTACGACAAGCATAGTCGCCTTTTACGACAAGCATCGGTTGCTGAAGACCTAACAACACATATGAACTTTTGAACAACTACATCTTGATTCAATATTAAAATTACGTGTTTATATTGTCATGTCTTCATCGTTATAGTATGAGATACAATAACAGTTGTGTATACATTAATCTTGTATACCATAATAAGGTACCTAATTTTTTATAGGACGTTCACCTGTATTATTACCTTATTTTTAAAAAATGAGAGGAATTTTGGATGACAATCAGTCAATGATCTAGAAAATGAACCGACCTGAAAGCTGGGTAGTCGTTAATCTCTTGTCAACGTATACAAAAATATGATGCCATTCAAAAGTAAGGCATCACCAAAAAATGAATAGAATATTTATCCCAAAAGCACTGTGTCCAATTATTTGGTATAATGTCTTTTATACAAAATAACATTTCTTTGGCAAATCATCAAGTGATACTTTACTGAGTTGTGGTGAGCTCCTGTAGCTGTGGCACTGGGGTTTATGGCACAATATATTAAATCGTTATACCACTAGGGTGAAGTAACATCTACTCCCATGGGGTAAAATAACGCTTTTTGTTTGAGCTACTTTCAGTCTGCCCAAATGTCATGCATGAAAATATGAACTTTGGAAGGTCATTTGATGAATTAAACATGCAATTTGTCAAGTCTAGCCTAATATCCTCTTTATTTTACCTACAGGAGCATATAAACCGATGGAATTATTTTCTGTTTTTGTTGGGGAAGTAGGACATAGCAACGTGGCTAATATCAATGCATTGCCATCCATTATTAATTAGACATCATCTGTTATTAATGACGTCAAAGACGGTTCATTTTACGGGGTTCCATCAATAGATTGACTGAGCTTAAGTCTCCACTTTTGATCTGGAAACGTACAACATTTCCAGAAAAGGCCTACAAACATAATTCAAAAATTAAATCCTTAATTCCTCTTAGTTCGTAGGTTATTATTCTCTAACTATATATGTTCCGATATGAGGATACTGTGTGTCAGTGTGTGGTATTTGCAAAACACGAATTGCATTGGTGAAACGAAAGCGGAACCAATTGTCCCCCATGTTTCAACAAAGAAAGACTAACGATCTCATTTGCATAGACATGATTTTGCATTTTAGTTTCAACGTTACAGCTCCCACTCCCACTTTTTTAACTGTCTAATCCGAGTAAATACTGACTGCTAAATAAAGGCCCCAAATTTTACAGAATGTTAACACATCCCATGAAGACCCTCCGACATGCAAATGCTTTCGAGACACTCAAGTTTTGGTTAGACTCAAGTCAGATGATGGAATACGACTTCTGTTCACCTTGACAAGATTTCCATGTATCAAGTTGCATTGCATTACAGTACCTTGTGCCGCCACTGCTTGCTCATTTACAGCTCGCATTATCGTGGACTTGAGGTTTCGCACACCTTGTATACAGTCAAGGAACCGTTTTTACTTGTCACCTTCTGACTGGCAAGAAACCCCTGTCCAAATCAGTAGGTGGTCCAGTATGAAGCTTGAGACGGTGAGACAAGTTTTAGTTATCTCTTCAGGACAAATACGAAGATATCTAGGCAGCACGATAACCGCACACTGTGTGTGACAGTCCTTCAACAACCACACACATGACCTGAATAAGCATAGGTCGTAGGGTATAAACTTTGGGCGAGATAATACATCCACACATGATACTGTACATCAGACTGTACTACATGCCTTGTGTTTACACTACATACATTTACTGGTGTAGACAAAAGACGCTACACAACATATATTTACTGGTGTAAACAACAGATTAGACTACATATTATTTACTGATGTAAACAACAGATTAGACTACATATATTTACTTGTGTAAACAACAGATTACACTACATATATTTACTGATGTAAACAACGGATTAGACTACATATATTTACTGGTGTAGACAACATACAACACTACATATATTTACTGGTGTAGACAACATACAACACTACATATATTTACTGGTGTAGACAAAAGATTACACTACATTTATTTACTGGTGTAGACAACATACAACACTACATATATTTACTGGTGTAGACAACAGATTACACTACATATATTTACTGGTGTAGACAACAGATTACACTACATATATTAACTGGGGTAGACAACATACAACACTACATATGTTTACTGATGTAGACAACGTACAACACTACATATATTTACTGGTGTAGACAACAGATTACACTACATATATTTACTGGTGTAGACAACATACAACACTACATATATTTACTGATGTAGACAACGTACAACACTACATATATTTACTGGTGTAGACAACAGATTACACTACATATATTTACTGGTGTAGACAACATACAACACTACATATATTTACTGATGTAGACAACGTACAACACTACATATATTTACTGGTGTAGACAACATATTACACTACATATATTTACTGGTGTAGACAACAGATTACACTACATATATTAACTGGTGTAGACAACATACAACACTACATATATTTACTGGTGTAGACAACATACAACACTACATATATTTACTGGTGTAGACATCATACAACACTACATATATTTACTTGTGTAGACAACAGATTACACTACATATATTTACTGGTGTAGACAACAAACAACACTACATATATTTACTGATGTAGACAACAAACAACACTGCATATATTTACTGGTGTAGACAACAGATTACACTACATATATTTACTGGTGTAGACAACAGATTACACTACATATATTTACTGGTGTAGACAACATACAACACTACATATATTAACTGGTGTAGACAACAGATTACACTACATATATTTACTGGTGTAGACAACAGATTACACTACATATATTTACTGATGTAGACAACATACAACACCACATATATTTACTGGTGTAGACAACATACAACACTACATATATTTACTGGTGTAGACAACATACAACACTACATATATTTACTGGTGTAGACAAAAGATTACACTTCATTTATTTACTGGTGTAGACAACATACTACACTAAATATAGTTACTGGCGAAGACAACAAACACTACACTACATATATTTACTGGTGTGGACAACAGACCCTACACTGCATATATTTACTGGTGTGGACAACAGACCCTACACTGCATATATTTACATGTTAGGACAACAGACCCTACACTACATATATTTACTGGTGTGGACAACAGACCCTACACTACATATATTTACATGTAAGGACAACAGACCCTACACTACATATATTTACATGTTAGGACAACAGAGCCTACACTACATATATTTACTGGTGTGGACAACAGACCCTACACTACATATATTTACATGTCAGGACAACAGACCCTACACTTTTTGTACTTATTGGGTGCCGTTGTACAAAACAGTGTTAGTGCCATGACTGTCGTAAGTCTATGTTAAAGTATGGGAGTTACGATCTACATAGATTCACTGGTATAGACAACAGAACTACATATATTTACTAATGTGCATTTACAGCATATTCGTTGTCTGAAGGGTTAACCTATATATGTATGTACTTCTCATTTTAATGTACCTTAAATATATAACTCTGTTTTCAACAGAAAGACAGAAACGAACTTCAGCTCCAAAGTCTACCGGCCTGTTGCATGTTCATCCTAGTGTTTCTGCTAGCATAGCTTCACCATTTGTTTAATCAACAATTGGACGATAGGCATGCTACAATGACACGCTGCAATGACACTGCAATGACACATATATATGTCATTGCAGTGTGTATACATTCAACATCGAGCTATGTCCTGTATCAGATGTTAATGAACAAACAATTTCAAACAATAGTTCATCTACAGTCCATGAGTCCATGAATCGCTCAGTTTGCTTACCTGGTGGGTAAGGCGACTGGCCAAGTCAAACCCCGTCATATCCTGGATGTTAAGGTAAACTATTGGGTGACCATACCAACTTTACCATACGTCTCTTCGACATCCGTATCTCCGAGGCACAGATAGTTTGAGATACTGCATGCGTTATCCTGTCAAAGTCCACCAGAGAGGCGGATGTAATCACCATTCACCAACTACAGGGAGTGTTTAAGCGAGAAATAGTCTGAACACATACTATATAGGCCAGGGTTTTAGCATGTCAAATATCAGAACAGACTATATATGCACACATGAAAGCGTTAATGCATGGACAGTGAGACATGTATAGAGTTAGTAACAGTCTTTTATCTATGTGTGTTATTGTCGCTCTGAATGTGCGATTGGGGAAACGGTTTTGAAATTTAGGTATTTTGATAAATGATATGCAATCGGGGAAGAGAAAATATGGATGTCAACCTCTTCATTATGAGGAACACGGCGTATATACTCCGAAACTTTGTATTCCTCATAATAAAGAAGCTGACATCCATATATTCTCTTCTTTATGTGTATCATTTCTAAAACCTTTCTAAGGCCCATATGCAAACGGATTCTAAAGGCTTTTTAAATTGGTTTTAACTATTAACTTTAATTTATTCTCTCTTCCCGACACCCAACCTTATAGTTTTACTGCAAGAATATAGTTAGTGCTAACATTCGCCTGAGTTTCTTGATAACAAATGCATTGATAATCTTTAGCGACCCCTGACATTCAATATAACTCCAGGGTTCTCATTTCGCTAAACCTACACTAACGTCAGTGAAGGTGAGTGTAGGTTTACCGAAATGCGAGCCCTGGAGATATAGAGGATGGACCCGTGAAGAATAGGTCTTCAGCAACCAATACTTGCCGTAAGAGGCGACTATGTTTGTCGTAAGACGCGACTAACGGTATCGGGTGATCAGGCTCGCTGACTTGGTTGATCCCAATTGTGTAGATCGATGCTCATGATATCATTCACTGGATTGTATGGTCCAGTCTCGATTATTTACAGACCGACACCATATAGCTGGAATATTGCTGAGTGCGGCGTTAAACAACAAACAACTCTAAACGCCACTTAATCCTAACCCATCTAACCCTATCCCCAGCTAACCCTAACTCTTGCTAGCCAAGCCCTCAGCTAGCCCTATCCCCATCTAACTAACGCAAACCCTATACCCAGGTATCCCTAACTCCAGCTCGCCGAAATCCCATATGAACCAATCGCCGGCTAACGTTCTTCCCAGCCGTCCCTAACTCAAACTAACCAACACCCAGTTAGCCTATAAACCAACTAACCCTATACCCAGCTATCCCCAACCCCAGCTAACCTATACCTACTACCTAGCTAACCCAAACCCTAGCTATCCTGTACCTAGCTAACCCAAAACCCGCTAACTTATACCTAGCTAACGCAAACCCCAGCTAACCTATACCTAGCTAACCCCAACTCCTAGGTTTACCTATTCCTAGCTAATCCAAACCCAAGCTAACCTATACCTAGCTAACCCAAACCCTAGCTAACCTATACCTAGCTTACCCGAACCCCAACTAACCTATACCTAGCTAACCTAAACCCCAGCTAACCTATACCTAGCTAACCCAAACCCCAACTAACCTATGCCTAGCTAACCCAAACTCCAGCTAACCCATACCTAGCTAACTCAAACCCCAGTTAACCTATACCTAGCTAACCCATACCCCGGCTAAGCTATACCTAGCTAACCCAAACCCCAACTAACCTATACTTAGCTAACCCAAACCCCCGCTAACCTATACCTAGCTAACTCCAACTCCAGCTAACCTATACCTAGCTAACCCAAACCCCAGCTAACCTATACCTAGCTAACCCCAACTCCTAGGTTTACCTATTCCTAGCTAATCCAAACCCAAGCTAACCTATACCTAGCTAACCCAAACCCTAGCTAACCTATACCTAGCTTACCCGAACCCCAACTAACCTATACCTAGCTAACCTAAACCCCAGCTAACCTATACCTAGCTAACCCAAACCCCAACTAACCTATGCCTAGCTAACCCAAACTCCAGCTAACCCATACCTAGCTAACCCAAACCCCAGTTAACCTATACCTAGCTAACCCATACCCCGGCTAAGCTATACCTAGCTAACCCAAACCCCAACTAACCTATACTTAGCTAACCCAAACCCCCGCTAACCTATACCTAGCTAACTCCAACTCCAGCTAACCTATACCTAGCTAACCCAAACCCCAGCTAACCTATACCTAGCTAACCAAAACCCCCGCTAACCTATACCTAGCTAATCCAAACCCCGCCTAACCCCCCAGCTAACCTATATCTAGCTAACCCAAACCCCGGCTAAGCTATACCTAGCTAATCCAAACCCCGCCTAACCTATACCTAGCTAACCCAAACCCCCGCTAACCTATACCTAGCTAACCTAAACCCCAGCTAACCTATACCTAGCTAACCCAAACCCCAGCTAACCTATACCTAGCTAACCCAAACCCCCGCTAACCTAATCCAAACCCCAGGAATACAACCCTTCTGACAATCTGGGTAATGCAGATGGCTGCAGTATTGGGGAGTCTTCACGTTCTCCGAAAAGTTCTGGGTGGGTTTGACTATGCAGCGCTTCCTGGGAGACCCATTCGTTGCTAGGGCTGCGTGTAGAGGGGGCAAGGTCCCTGGGCTGATGATGAGCCTAACCAGCCTGACTGTGTCGGTATCACCCAAACCCTCTTTGCTGCAGAGTAGCAACAACAACATCCACACAAAAAACAAGCCAATAGACATTGTACATGACACTTGAGAGAAATAGAGGGAAATCATTTATTAGTTTAGACAGAGGGTATTACCGAACTGCCAAAGCTCTGGGGTTTTAAAACCAACAAGTCCACGGTATAATAAATAAAAATAAAAAAGTAGAGGTCATCTCAAAAACAAAGCCGTCACGCAAAAGGACATGAGACATCATTGATACAGGGGCGATTAGACGTATACACAATAATGAATGTTTCCCGGACTACATTAATTATTGCTCTCGACGTGATGGGCTTACGATACACTGCGCGTTTCATAGCGTTTAACTATTCCGTTTTTCCAAGCTAATATGATACAGTACATTGCTTAATTGCTACCCCGTCAACGCATATCTAAAAAAAGTACAATAACAGAAATATTTTGAGACAACCCCCAACTCAGGTGACATTTGCACCTGTGAGTTGCACAGGCGTGAGGTCATCACCTCGTGACATGTGTCAGGTAAGTACCTGAGGCTGTAGGCTGTTTCATGCATGCATGACATCATCACACGGATATATTTTCAGAGTTCATCATAATTTTACCTGTAAAAGTAACTATTTAGTCTAATCACTGGCAGTGACGACAGGCTAGAAAGGTAGATTTGCTTCATTTTGATATGTGCTGTTTTCATAGCCCTATTATTCGTATTTATTTATTGAAGCCAGAAAAGCATTTTTTCTAGCATTTCCGACATTTCTTTAAGCTGAAATTTCAAGATGCTATCTAGATCACAAGTCGTAGCATGCAATTGTCTTTCACGATTCTCCCTCAAACTCCTTCAACTTAGGATCCCATTCAGCAGAATGTAGGCGAATGTATTTAGTCCAGTTGACTGTAGCATATGAGTGTCTTTTTAATGTTTTCCTTTTTTATTCAAGTTAATGTCCCATGTAGTTTGTCATTCGTGTTGATTCTTGCTTAACTCATCACAGAAAACGTTTTTTTCTCTCTTATCCTATATTATGTTGGAATATCTTATATTGTGTTGGAATAATGGTGATTTCTTTCAATGTCACAGACATGTGCGCTGAAGATACTGGGATACTGAAAAAGCATGTATTGAGTTCCTGAAATAAACTAATACGTCACGTATTTCAAGAACTAATGTTACGAAAAATCTAAATCTAACGGTATGGCTTATCTCACTCGCCTAAATGGAATATTTGCATACCGTAGCCATTGAAGCTAGGGTCCCAGGCAGTGTATGGTGTAGTAATTCAAATACTTTCATGACCTAAACCTTATCACTATCTCAGCTTATAATTAGTAATCCAACAGGATCTCTGTCTCTATATTAGTAGTCGGGAGTTCCTCTCCCTAGACGTTGTCTACATTGTATAGTGTTTAATCCTTGTCCGATAGTTTACACGCTTTGCCATGCCGAAATATGTTTGTATCCTAAATTTGTTTGGGAATTTTTTAGAATGAAAACGTTTAGGATTTATTTATTATCAAAGCAAAATGATACAATCTTCAGATAATCAAGTATATTCAATGTCTAAATGTGTTTGTGTTGGAAACTATCATCAAATAAGAATATGTGATTGATCACTTAAACACTTAAATGACCTCGCACAACGATCGACATGTGACGTCTGAGATGCTTGATTTTATTGCACTGTGATTACATTTCCTCAAGACTCTGGGGCGGTCGGGTAGCCTAGTGGTTAAAGCGTTCGCTCGTCGCGCCGAAGACCCGGGTTCGATTCCCGACATGGGTACAATGTGTGAAGCCCATTTCTGGTGTCCCCCGCCGTGATATTGCTGGAATATTGCTAAAAGCGGCGTAAAAAACATACTCAGTCCTCAAGACTCTGCATGAGTTTGATATAACGAGTGTTACAACAGTGGAGTTGCTGCAAACGTATGTGCGCTGTTTTGACGCGCGAAAGGGACGCTGTAACTAAAGAATGACACCACTAACAAAATTACACAGTTTTCATAAACATGTTTATGTTAAAAACATGTTGAGATTTGGGGATATTGAGATCCTGGGATGTGTTAAAAATTCAGTATTGTAGCAGATAGCAGAGCAAAATACAATGTACTTTATATAATATACTAGATTTGAAGGATAATTATACAGTTAATTTGAATCCGAAGGGTATTATGTTCAAGTGGTAAATTCCGTTCATAAGTGTACATGCCATCTTCCCGAGGCAAGGTGTTAACTGACTATAAAAGTCCAGTTTCCACCCTTGCCGAACTAGGCTGGTATTATGGAGTTACATTTTGGCTGGACTAACGAGTCTATGCATAGTCCGCCGCCTCCGTGGTCTTGTGGTAGAGCGTCCGCCCGGAGAGCGGAAGGTCCGGGGTTCGATCCCCGGCCGCGTCATACCAAAAGACGTTAAAAGATGGTACTTGTTGTTACCCTGTCTGGC